TGCGCTCGCTGGATGGAGCTCAACGCCTTTATGCCTTTTTACCGTAATCACAACTTGTACGCTGCAGTGCCGCAGGAGCCGTACCGCTGGGCCACTGTTGCCGAGGCCGCCCGCCGCGCCATGGCTGTGCGCTACGCCTTGTTGCCGTACATGTACACCCTCTTCAACGCCGCTCACATATCTGGAGACACCGTCCTGCGCGCTCTGGCTTGGGAGTTTCCCAACGACCCGACTCTTGCTGCTGTCGACACTCAATTTTTGCTGGGCCCGGCCGTCATGGTCGTTCCGGTCCTTGCTCCTAATGTAAATCAAACAGCAGGTGTGTTCCCTGGCGTTGCCCAAGGTACCCGCTGGTTCGACTGGTACAGCGGTACAGAGGTCGTTGCGGCTCCTGGGCAGAATCTGACGCTGGACGCGCCGACAACGCATATACCGGTGTTTGTGCGTGGAGGCAACGTTCTTGCGCTGCAAGAGCCGCTGCGCACAACAACAACAGCGCGCAAGTCTCCATGGAGCTTGATCGTTGCTTTGGATAGCAGTGGTGATGCGAGAGGGTCACTTTACTTGGATGACGGCGAGAGTGTGGCCCCGAACGCTACGCTTAGCGTCTCGTTTGTAGCGACTCAGGGACGGCTGAGCGTGAGTGCGGTCGGAGAGTGGAAGGACAAGAATTCATTGAAAGAAGTCAGAATATGGGGACTGAAGCAACAGCCGAAGACGGTAAGATTTGGAAGTGTCGCGTTAGAAGATGGCGCGAAGTCGTGGGATAAGGAGAATGGGGTGCTGATCATGACTGACGTGATGGCTAATGAGACGATGGTGTGGGAGAAAGATTGGACGTTGAGCTGGGAGTAGGCCGAGTCAACAGAGAGTGACCCGGTCAGAGAGTCGAAGACGTGGTAATGTTCCCGAGACAGCGATCTTTTCGAAATGCCTCTTGCCATCCTGCCACATCAGTTGCGGTGGCGACTGTCCAGTTTGCGTGCACGGTAAAACCATGATGCGGAGCTCCGCTGAAAGTGATGGCTTCTTGGGTCATGTGCCGTGACCCTTCAAGACAACGGAATTCTAGCCGGACTTAGCAAGCGTAGTCATCTGACAATCATGCCTGTCTTCGAGCCTTAACGTTCTTGCGTTACGTCTGACGGAGTCAGCTCTAGTGAGGTACCTTGCAGCGGCGGGCTGGTGACCGGAATAGGCAAGAGCAGAGGATGAATGCGAATTCGAAAGTCGCTGCTGCAGAGGTAGCGGGCGACAGTCGTCGAGCACAGAAAACTCGCGGTATATCATGTTGAAGCAACAGAATTGGAGACAGTCTGAATAGCTGAAAAAGAAGAGGTCTGAACGCGTCGCAGAGAGAAAAAGCGTCCCGGTTTGTTCAAAGCAGAGTTGGGGGCGCCAAGGCTCCTTCCGCGTCGAGATGTCTCCTGGCGCCATGGCTGGGAGGACCGGGCATGACCGAGTCATCAGCGATAGATGTAGATGTCGTCCATTGCCTCTGGGCGCCGAGAACGATCTTGATGATGGATTCTGAGAGCTGACTGGCGAGAGACGAGGAGTGATCGTGACCGAGGGAGGACGCGTCACGACATGGGGTTTCCCTGCGTGGGTGGCCTCAGGCACGAGACTGTATGGAAATAGGAGCTCGACCGTTGGAGGGCCAGAGTCGCGGTCAGGAAACAGAGTCGCGGTCAGGAAATGAGCGTGGTGATGGCTTTTGGAGAATCAAAGTCAGAGTGACGATTGTGTGGGAGGATTCTGGATCATCAATCGCTAGAAAGGTATTTCGTCGGCGGGTATGCCGCTAGCGGCTACCTGCATGAGGATTAGCGTCAATAGCCTCCAAGTACCTCGACCGACCGCCACGTTCTTCTTTTCTTCTTCCTCAACACCAACGTCACCTCATCGTCTTTCGTACTGTTGCTGTCAACGGGCCGTAAAGCCGAGTCGACTCGAGTCCCATCGGATGCCGAAACGCCTTGTTTGGCTCAGCCTCCACACCCGGTCTTTGCGATGCCGTTACTTTTGACGACTGCCGAGCTTTTTTCTCCCACGCGATTGAGAGCACCGGCGCCCCCTCAGTAGTCATGCGTACGGATTGCGTTGGTCCGGCCCGGCACGTAGAATCTGGGGAACGCGCACGCGCATGTCGACTCCATGCTAGCTCTGGGCAATGGCATGCGATTACAGCCCTACAATTGGAAGAGCCTTATGCCGCCCCTCGCCGCCACGACAAGGTGCAATTGCTGGCCCCAGCCTTCTTCTTTCGGCACGCGCCTGGCCTTGTTCTTCTTGGCTGCCCATGCGCTGACGTCTTCTGCTCCTTGAGGCACTTCAAACCTGCCAAATACTACTTGCCCAAGCCCTGATCCACCCACGCCTGGCTGGCCTTTTTGATTCAAATGATTGAGCCTGGCTAAGTTTCTTCTTCCATTTCCTTCAGCCTCCAGCGCTTGACCGCCACCTCCTACCAGTTTGCATCTTGTGATTCTGTCTCCTCCAATATAGTATCCGAGGCAGAATATATAATCTTATCCCGTCTCTTTTTCAATCTATCATCATGCCAGCGAACAACGCAATCAAGAAACTACTCAGCTGTTTCGGATCTCCTTCCAAGAAGACTTCGACTGCTCCCCAAGTTCCATCGAAACGCCCTGTACCTGCGCAAACCGAAAAGCAAGACGCACTTCCCGTGAACCTTTCGAACAAGCCCAACATGGCCGCCGCTACTGCAACCACCTTGAACATTGGCATTGTCAACAAGACCACGTCGAGCACCGTGTATGCCTACGTCACTGGCACAGCTCTCGATAACAACAACGCCCTCTTTTTGCTCCAAGCCGATGGCAAGACGCCTTACTACCCAACCTCCCCGTCGAACACACAGACTCCTCTCAGCAAGAACTGCTCCATCAAGCTGGGGGCTCCCGGAAGCACAACCACTGTGACCATTCCGCACCTGGCTGGCGCCCGCATCTGGTTCTGCATTGGCGAGGAGCTCACTTTTCTCCTCAACCCAGGTCCCGCGCTCGTCGAGCCGTCTGTCACCAACAACTCCGACCCCTCTATCAAGAAGCGCTGGGATTTTGCCGAGTTCACGTTCAACAGCACCGAGATTTACGCCAACATCACCTATGTGGACTTTGTTTCCATTCCAATCGCCCTGGACTTGGTGAACACGTCTGGAGTCAGCACGCACGTCTCTGGCATGGATCAAAACGGTCTCAACACTGTTTGCTCTGGCCTCCAAGCCCAGACGGCGAAGGATGGAAAGGGATGGTCCAGCCTCATTGTCAAAGCTTCTGACGGATCCAACTTGCGCGCACTGGCTCCCAACGATGGCATCATCATGAACAACTCCCTCTTCAGCGGATACTACGACTCTTACGTCAACGCTGTCTACAGCAAGTACGCCACAGACACGCTCAAGGTTGACACCCAGTCCAGCTACGGTGTCCTCAACGGCAAAGTCAGCAACAATGTCTTGACCGTGGGGTCCGAGACGTTCAACAAGCCCTCGACTGCCGACATTTTCAGGTATGACAACGAAGCCACGTTCCACATCAAAGACAAAACAGAAAGCTGACAGCTCCACAGCAACTCGACTGGCCCCTTTGCCAACCCTTCGGGCTCCGCTCAGCGCAACGTCATCATCCCCCGTCTGGCCGCCGCCTTCAACCGCAGCACGTTCCTCGTCGATACCCAGACGCCGGCCGCCAGCACCAGCAGCTACTATACCAATGCGATAACGAACCACTACGCGCGTATCGTCCACGCCGCCAACCTCGACAGTGAGTTCTAGCCCCACCCCCCCTTCCCCCCCTTTTTTTCTAATTTTTTTTTTCTTTTATGGTTATGTACCACACCACTAACGCTCAAGGCAGAAAAAGGATATTCCTGGCCCTACGATGATGTGGCTCCTACTGGCGGCGCAGACCAGAGCGGTGCTGTCTACGGAGCTCCCAAGACGTTCACTGTCACCGTTGGCGGCAACGGCGCCACGGCAAGCAAGAAGAAGAAGAACGGCGGTTCCTAGACGTCTGAAGAGGCTGACAGGCGTTTCACTGGGCCTTAAAAGAAATATCCAACCCGGGGCGGGTGCTTGAATGCTCCCTGTGAGCATGATTTCGGACTCGGTCATTTTTGGGCAACTCGACCCCACACGGCGGAAACACCAAGACCGGGACGAGAAGCTTGAATGCTCCCTGTGGATATGCTCTCGGACTTGGTCATTCGGCAGTCTGACTTCCTACGCTGGAAATATTACCACAGGAGCAAGGTGCCTGAATGCTCCCTGTGGTTGTGTTCTCGGCCTTGGTCGTTTGGCCCTGGAGTTGACATTTCTTTTGCCACCCACTTCGGCGCCTTGTCAATGGAATGCACGGAGAGGATTGATATGATGTATATACGCACCGCTTGTTTTCGCCTTTGCTCTTGACGGGATATGAGGTAGAGGTGATGGCATGGGACGTACTGATTGCGCGTTGACTTCTAGGCTTCACTTGCACATATGCTGTATATATGCTTCTGTATCTATTCTGTCCTTATAGAAATATGACTCACGCTGTCACATCTCACTCACTGATCCCGGGCTTTGGAGCAAAATTTGTGGCGCACAAGACGGACTCCTTGGAGACATCTATCGTATGAAGCGCGCGGATCGGATACATTCGACCGCCCTGCGCAAGTAGGGCTAGAGCAATACTAAATCCACTGGTAGATTCCTGAGGAGAATTCAAGCAGCTCGACTCGAAGACACGGATATCAGTCATCAGTGATATAGTAGTTGTATGCACCCCTACTCTAGCCACCAAGCCTCGCTCTCTCTTCACCAACATCCGAAAAACTTCCACTACTCACTCGCTCACCTCGCTCTTTCCATCTTTCCCCTCCCCCGCTCCATCCTGCCCTGCCTCTCTGACTCACTTCTCACCCCCAAGCCCCATCCCCAAGCATATGACTGCCATCCGCAAGCTCCTTCCTCAACAAAACAACTCAAGTCCATCGTGGTGTAGTGGTCCAGCATTTCGGATTCTCATTTTCAAAAGCTCTGCCCAGGGCCAGCAAGTGTGATTTCCGGAGACCCGAGTTCGATTCTTGGCGATGGAAAATGCCCTTTTTTGGTCTTTTGGGGGGTGAGGTTTTTGCGATTGCTCTACGGTAGTCTTTTTGTTCGTCTTGCTGTCCTGCTGCTGCTCTTTTGCGTTGGCTGTCATCAGATGGTGGCGGCGGAATCATTCAGCCCCATTAAAGAGGCTCTTTTATTTATAAACGGCTTTGCCCAAACTCCATTACCCAAACGAATCAAATGCGAGAGAGAGAATTCCATCGTGGTGTAGTGGTTCAGCATGCCAGGCTTTCATTTACCCCTTCTTGTTGTCGAGGAGCGCCCGGGCTTGTCAATCATGTAGCGCAGATGATGGCTTGCGCACGCACAGCAACTGAGGTGAAAGGTTTCTGGAGACCCGAGTTCGACTCTTGGCGATGGAAGATGATTCTTTTTGGGGGGGATTTGGGATTTGGGATTTGGATGAGGTGGGTGTTGGGTGCTTAACGGCAAGTGGGGAGTGGGGAGTGGCGAGTGCTCACTCCTTCTGTTTTTTGGGCTGGAACATTGGAGCAGGATAGGAACTTGGGAAAGAATTGGAAACAATGCGACACTGGCGTCTTGTCTCTGCGGCAGCCAAAGCTTTTATTCAAACGATTTATTTCGCAAATTTGTCCTCTGAACGATCGTTCTTGATGGCCGTAGCAACGTTACTTGACTGAGCCTGAGGTAGAGGATAAAACATGAGAACAGTCAAGACTACTGTCCCACGCGATGTTCCAGAAGTTCCATCATTACAGCCGATATAAATCTCAAAGGGAATCGCGAGGGCAATACAAGACGGAGTGGGGAACGAAGACCATTGGTATCTGTGTGCTCAAACAACGCGCAGTAACTCCACTGCCACCTTCCACCTCTCGTCTTTTTCAAGTTTCAAAACTCCAACGACGAAACCGACAAAACCACCAAAATCGAGTCGCACAAACAAGAGACGAGAACAACTCCTACCCGCTCACGGCACCAACGCCCTGCGTCTGGCCCGCCGCCGTCACGGCATCCTCAATCAACCGCATAATCTCGTCGCTGCCCTCGGACTCGTCATGTGCATCGGCGCAGGACCCAGCCTGCTGGATCTGCGGCATACCAGCGAAGCGCGTACCAGCGCCCAGCAGTGCAGCGTCGGCACCAGCACGGCCAACACCGCCGTGATGTGTGTCGGTGAGCTGGCTCTGCTGCTGGTGCAGCTGGCCCTGCGCCCACAGCCGCCGCACCTCGCCCTTGACGCGCCACAGCTCGCCGGCGACGCCGCGCACCTGGCCGACGGCGCGCGTGGCCAGCGGCCAGACGCCCGCTAGGCCGCGCAGGCTGCCCACTTCGATCTTGATGAGCTCTTTGAGCGCGTCGTCGCGCTCGTTTGGGGCTACGAGCGCCCAGTGCGCCAGGTGCACGACGGCCGCCATGACGGTGCCGCAGGTGAGGAAGGGCGTGTGTTTGTAGAGCGGGGTGGGGAGGCGGAGCAGCGAGCAGAGCGTCGATGCCGATGCGAGGGTCGTTGTTGTGTGGGTGCTTGTGAGGGTTTGGAAGGGCGCGGTGGTGGGAGAGTGTGGCGAGGGGAGCGAGTTGAGCGAGGCGGTCGTGTTGTTGTTGGAGGCGAAGGGGATGGGACCCACGCAGGTGCGGATGGGCGCCGTGGTTGTGCTGTGAGAGGGGTCGAGAGAGGAGCGCGGCTGGTGCAGTAGGATGGAGCTTCTGGACTCTTGTCAGTTTGCTCTTTGGCATGGAATAGGGGTTTATGAACGCACGATTCGGCAATCATGTGCGCCTGGAAGAGCATATGATCCATCTGCCCATCGCGGGTGATGAACTCCTTTTTGCTTTCTGGCAGATGGAGACGCCAATTGACAAGATACGAGTCCACGGCGTCTAGGGTGGCAGTGTCGAATATGTCCACTCTTGCAACTGCAAGGACCCTTCCCAGATTGCGGACGGCATCGATGCGGTACGTGTAGGATGAGAATTCGGCCTCGTCTTCCGCAAAGGCCGCATCGTCGTACTCTTGCAACGTCCTTGAAATTCCAGTGATGTACTAGTACATTGGGTCAGCAAAGGGCCTTGCCAATGCGGGCTGTACTCACTCCTGTCGAGTAATCCGCCTCCTCACATGGCAGTGGCACGTCGGTAATCATGTCTCTTAGCCGGAACGTCTCCTTTTGGCTGACGCCAGCGAAGAATCCGTCACATACAAACAACTCCCACCATGTACGGCGCCAGCTTTCTTCCATGACGCGGTTGCCCACCCCATTGCGTGCAGCAAATTCTCGCTCATGCATGCCGATGCTGAGAGCAATGTCAATTGCTTCAGTGAGTACCTCTTCGGCCTTATCAGCCTTGTCATTTGCCTTGAGCCCAATGGCGTAAAGGAGAAGCGCTTGAACCATGAAGCCATCTCGTGTATAGGCTTGCTGGCGCAGAGCTCGGTTGAGCGCATCTTCTATAGGGGCAGTGGAGACGTTTGGGATGTAGAAAGATCCTAGGAACTGAATGGCCAGTTCAAGGTGAGGAATGTGCTTATTCCTCACAATCTGATAGAACAGTGGTTTGGGAGGAAGAAAGGGATGCGCTGCAGCGAAGTTGTTGAAGAAGGCCCCGGCAATGGGGCATGAAGTGGCTGGTGATGGTTGGTTGCGACTAGGTGCGAAAGCCATATTTGACTGGCTCGGAAATGCAACGGCGGCATTTTCCTCAACGGAAATTGAAAAGGCCGTTGAGGTTGCGGGGGAGTCAGCCTGGTCTGTGAAGGACGGCTCGATGTTCTGGAAGGCATTTTCCTGCTCGAGATTGGGAATGTTCCTCGACTCTGTTGCTGAAGGAGCTGCTGCTGATGAATGTCAGATTATTCAAGGCAAGCGATTGATGGTAATGACTGACATATCGACCGCCGTTCCTGTGATTCGGCCGCGGGACCAGGGAGATTGTGGCCGACGGTCTCACCCATGGCATTCCTCTTTCGTGGGCCTTTGTAGCCCTAGGAAGTGGTCAGCATGCTGGACCAAGGCCTAGGTTTCAAGATCCTTTTATTCGAGTTTTCGATTACTCACCCTCCTACTCTTGACATAGCTGCAGTCGCCCGCTTTTCCGTCGTCCCTACAGCGCGCACAAGGCTCACCTCCGCTACATTTCAAATGCCTCGACCGACAAGGCACACAAGCAAGAGGAACAGGATTTCCGGCCTGTGCTCCGCCGCCGTTGGCAGCAGTAGGCGTAGAGTGCTGCTGCTGGGGTGTCGAATGTTGCTGGTGCGGAGATTGATACATCTGGCGGCCGCGTGCTCCAAACTCGACGCCCATCATGGCGCCATCGTCCCCAAACTCAGCCGGCATGGTGAAGCCGAGAACAGAAGGTAGATCGTCAGCCATGTCGCCACGTGAGGGCTTGGCTGAGAACGAGGATAAGTGCCTTGGATGATTAGTTAGGGCGGAAGCCAAGTACTGTCAGGCGGTTCCGATTCAGCGGAGAAGCCGCAGGGCTTGGGTGCAAGTCACTCTGGCTTGTTTCGTATTCTCTTTGCGGCCTCTGTGATTGAATGGTTTGTTGTTTCTGCAGCCCAACACAGTTGGGATGCCTGTTCTGGATCAATCGCCACTTGCCTGAGGCGTGCGATTCAGCGGTCCGGACCGATCCGGCAAGGGTGGTCGATTGCGTGATTGTACGAGAAGAGCTCAATTGGTGGAGAGCGTGCGGTCAAGTTTGCCGTGACTGGATGGGTTGTGCGGTGTTCCAAAATGTTAGGGCTGAGGTTGTGGAGGCGCGGTGGAGGTTGACGGGAGCTAATTGAGTTCCTGAGAGTCGGGCTGCACGCGCAGCGCGCCGGGGCCCTAATGTCTCCGCTGGCTGGCGCAAGAAAGGACGGCGAGGTCGCTGCACAAGTGGCGCGACAAATTACCGCGGTTCAAGGGCGAGAAGCGATGCGCGCAAGACGAAGGCTGGAATGGATAGGCGCGCTACGTCACCAGTGTAGGAACTATCAAGATGGAGAGAAGTCGGCGATGGATGAGACGAGCGGAAGCAAAGGCGGCGGCAGCTTCTGCCGACTCGAAAAGGCTTGCGACCCGCTCTCCCGCGCTCTATCTCTCCCGCGCGGAGAAACAGTCGCGAGTCTGGACAAATAATAATCAGAGCCAACGTGCATGGGTGACTCGGTCCCCTTGTGCGCTCGGACCGTCCGGATCCCGACGTCCACATGGAAAACGCTTCTGGACTGCCAAGTCTAGCCATGGGATTGAGGCGCATTGCGGTCGGAGTGATGTGTGGACTGGGTGAGGTGAGAGATGCTCGTTGTGGCAGCAATGTGGCGCTCAGGCATGCCGGGACGTCAGAGTAAGCTTGTACGACGGTTGCATGCGGTTCAGGTTGTGAAGCATTCAACTACTTTTCGGGGTATCCGAAACACTTTCTACCTCGCGACGCAAATATTCCTCAAGCGTCCAATCAAGAAAAAAAGAAATACGGAAATCCATATTGACTCCACCCATGCATATTCAAAACTTACCTCCCACACATATGCGAGTCAAAATAGCGCCTCTGCAGCACAAAACCCACCCTTTTCACTACTCTTCCAAAACGCCAGTCTACTTGCAATCCTCCTATGCAGTAGACGTCGTCGTGAATCCAGCTTGATCGATAATGACCAATCCGGCAATACTGGCACTGCTCAACGTCGCCAAAATACCCGTCATCAATGCACTGATGGCAACTCTGCTCACATCACCGCCGCGGCTGGGACTCAGCTGCGTCAACACACCAATTTGGTTGCCGAGCGATCCGATGTTGCCGAAGCCACAGAGCGAGTAGGTAGCGATAAGACGCGAGCGCGTGCTAAGATTTGCGAATTCCGCACCCGTTGACAGATCCGAGTAGGCGACGTACTCGTTGGCAACAATCTTGATACCAATGAGCTTGGCAACTTTAAGAATGTCGTCACCATTGCGATCCACTCCGAGGAGGAAGGCGACGGGGTAAAAGACGTAGCCGAGGATTAGCTCGAGGGTAAGATCATAGTCGCCGTGGAGATTGATGTCTGCAACAATATCAGGACCTGCTTTTTTCAGTGCTTCACGGGAGTAGCAGTGGTACTTACAGCGCCCCCACCAGGTAAGAAGACCGTCAATCAATGCAATCAATGCAATGATACAGAGGAGGTTGCACATAATCATTCCAGCAATCTTCAGACCGAGCCATGCGCCATTGGCAAAGGCTTGCAGCGCGTTGGCCGCCTTGTGGTCTTCGTCCTCCGGCACAACGACACGGCCGTTGGTCAGCGTCTCCTCCTCTTCGGGCCAGCGGAGCTTGCTCATCGCAATGGACGCGGGAATGCTCATGACGCAAGAGGAGACGAGGGCCTGTGGGTTGACTCCCATGGCAATGTACGAAACCAAGACAGATC